TGATACAAAACAAGATTTCCTTCCTTCCTTCCTTCCTTCTCCACTCTGAGTCCCATTTGAGCAGACAAAGGGAACTTCTCAGTCCTCCAGGTCATGGTTGCCCCAAAGATAACCTGTTTTCAAGACTTTCTGGTTTATCTTTGAAGACGTTTCGCTTTTCATCCAAGAAGCTTCTTCAGCTATGGCTGGATGATGCAAATGGAAGGATTTATACTCCTTTCAACAGTTCCAAGGCGGCTCCACACCCATTTGCACTACTCAAGTGACCCTGAGGACACAGATAAACCTCCAAGTGGCCTCAAGGACTCTCGAAAAAGGATGCAAATGTCCTGCAAGGAGTACAAATCCTTCCATTCCCCACCATCCAGTCAGAGCTGAAGAAGCTTCTCGGATAAGAAGCTAAACGTCTTCAAAGAAAAAACAGAAAGTCTCTTGGCCTCTTGGAAAAAGGTTACCTTTGTGGGAACAAATGAGAGTTTGGAAATCAGGAAGTGAAGATGAAATCCCCTTACTTGTGTTCTAACACAAGAGCAGCACTAAACCAAACCTGCTTATACCTGCGCTTGTATAAAACATACGATTCACTCCCAATTTTCTCTCTTTCTGAGATCCAGAGTTTGGGGGTGTCAGGATGTATCACTCTAAGTACTTCCTCAACCTACAAAACGTCAAGATGTAATGGAAGAGTGACCAGAGGGTCACTCTGGATGGAAGAGTCACCAGTAAAGGACATGTACATACCCTGATTGTAACCGTATGATTGGCAGATGGCCTCAAATGAGGAAGATGAAGCCCACAGACTGGCATTCTTCGCATCTCTTCAATTGGGGTCCCAAACCACTTTTTGTTAGTTGGGAGTGAGGGAGGGGTATATCTACAATGCTTCCTTCCTGGGCGGTGTTCACTCCTGTCATTGAAAGATTAAAACGTTCATTGTGGAAACAAAAACAATTAGCAATAAACAGGACCCTAATAAAAACTAAAACCAACAAGGATGAAATACAGGAAGTCCATAATTTACAATTTACAACATAATTTACATAATTATTAAATTACTCAATAGCAAAACAACAGCACTTCTGGTATTAGTGAATCTGGTCCTTAAAAGCAATCCAGTTCAGAAAAGTACAAATGATCCTTCCTTTATTATCATTATGATATTAAGTGCCCACTTCCCAATTGCAACTTCTGGTATTATTGTGTGAGAATTGTGGATCGGCTGTGTTTTATTCCAAATCTGGACCGATGAAATGGAATAATGGAACAATGAAAAAAGCCTTTTAAAAACTCAGAGAGTTTTCCACCATCCCCAAAACCTCTTGTCCTGTCCTATGCCACCCGGTGATTTTGCCACACTGAAGTACCTGCGTCTGTTTTCCATTTTCCTCTGTCACAACTCAAAAGCAGCTCATGGTAATCCCAAATTATGAGACCCGGGGGAGGGGAAACCAATACCTTTTCTCATCCCCTCTATGGACCCGTGGGAAATGGGCGGTAATTTTAGAGTCCTTCCTTCCCCCGTGCTTGGCACTTCTGCCCTCCGATGCCAGGTGAGGCGAGGTTCCCAATACTTCCATGTGCATTTCAGTATCTTTCCAGGGACCGTCCACTCCTTCGGTGTTGAGGCTAAATCGGGGCCCTTCGCTTTTCGGGGGAGCAAACTGTCGCTTTCTGGATTCCGGGTCAGTCTCTGTCCTCTGGAACTGGGTGGAATTGCCTGGTCCTTCCGACACACTGAGATCTCCGTGGTCCTCGAGAAGGGGACTGATTTCTTCATCCGCCTCTGACCCCTGGCAACTGTTTTTGGAATTATCCACATCCATCGGTGATTCAGGCTCACTCTCCTTCTCAAAAGAGGGCGACTCCCCTAAGCACCCCTGATCTATGTCCCGAAAGCCATAAAGATCGGACGAAGTCGCCAGACAGCCTCCGTCGGAAAGCGGGCTCTCCGGGATCAAGTCTGCCTCGTCCGGCTCAGCTTTAAAACCTACTGGATCCTCAGAGCTGCAATTTTTCAATGGCTGCGGACTCTGTGGAGTTACTTCCCTTGCAGGATCCCAGTCTTTGGAAGCCTGTTTTAGATTTGGCATCTTTGTGGGGCTGCCTATCGAAAGCTTCCTGGCGGGACAGTTTTCCCGGATTTCAGGATCGGTTCGATAAGCCTGAGCACCGGTTTTGTATACATTCGCATTTTTCAAGGGCCCGCTTGCCTGTCTTTGTTTCAGAGCCTCGGCTTCAGATAGCTTATCCCTACAGGTGTCCTCAGCTGGAGGAAAAAAACTCTGCATGGTACTCATTTCTGCGGATAAATTTGAGCAGCCCGGCTGGAAGAGGCCCTCGGCCTCTTTGGCATCATTGTCGAAAACATGATCTTTTTTAACAAAGGCCATTTGGGACTCTGCTTTTATGTTGCTTCTTTTGCTCTGTCTGCAAAAAAAAAAAAAAAGAAAGAAAGAAAAGAAAAGAAAAGAAAAGAAAGAATATAGAGTTTCACAAAAAACGGAAAGCCATTACACACAATTCCACACCGCTGGCCAGGCTGCTAGCAATTGGTATCCCAACATCTGGAGGGTACCCAGTTGCCTATCTCCAAATTAAAATATTAAAAAGCTTTTAGAAAGCTTGATTTGAGCATTACTTTCATTCTAATTTTTCTAGATTAGTTTCTATCCTAATTCCATCATTAGGTCAAAGGACTCTGTACTTCTAAAGTATTTCTATACTTTGCTATATTACAGGAAGTTCTTGACTTACAACAATTTGTTTACTGACCGTTCAAAGTTGCAGCGACACTGAAAAAAGTGACTTATGACTGTTTGTCACCCTTATGACCCCCATGGTTACTTGATTCAAATTCAGATATTTGGGAAACTGCAATGTATTTGTGATGGTTGCAGCATCCCCCAGGGTCACTTGATCAAAAGAAGGTTTTGTAACCTTCAGAGTAGCAGAGTCATTGGGGAAGCCAGATTCACTTAACAGTTGCGTTCCTTAAATGCATGATTCACTTAACCACTATGACAAGAAAGGTTGTAAAATGGGGCAAGAGTCACTTAACTGTCTTAGTTGGCAAAGGAAATTTTGGGCTCAACTGTGGTCGCAAGTTGAGGAATTACCCGTATTTCTTTTTTCTAATTTCCTGAGTATAGGGATTCTTTTCTGACCTTTTTTTTAAAAAAAAAAAAATATGGTTATTGACAGCTTCTAAAAGCTGAAAAGCGCCACAAGACACAACAGAAATAACAGGCAAAAGGTATAGTGTTTTCTCATAAAAATGCCCGAGATACTGCAAATGAGTAAGTTGCAATTAAAAAATGAGAAGGATAAACTAACCAATCAAGCCAAGCCGAGTTTGATTAAACACCCTTCCTTTACAAAACTCCCCAAATGAGAAGCAGGTCCTTGGCGTCTGATATCAGTTTTGTGACACATGTCACCACTTACACCGTTCCTTCTTTTTGTTGACATCTTTGTTAATAAAAGTATACTTCCCTAAAAGTCATCTTATAACAGCAAAAGCTAACGTTTTGGAGGCCTATTAGCATTCTGGTGGAATAATCTGACGGTAGCCGTTCCTATAGGCTACAGCAGAAATAAAATTAGTTGAACCTTGTTTTTGTTTTACCTTTCAGATCCTACAGTTCTGGGTCCTTTGTTCTCCATCCAAGAGGTAATCCTCTTTTGTTTGTAAACTGGAAGGAAATGCACAGTGGTTTTACTGGAAGTGGGAAGGTTGGACCCAAACACACCAATCTTAAAACAGATGTCTATAAATTAATACATTTACTCTGGTGTTTAATTAGCAGGAAGGCGACCTCATCAGTTTGGGACAATACACCAAAGCATTCAGCATCACCTGCGTATCCAAATACGCAGGTGTCATTTACCAAAGGGCCACTCTTCCGAAAGACCGAGCTACAGGTAGGCCCTGACTCGCGCTCTTCCTGGCCGCTTGTGGTTAAGGGAGTCTGGCTGCCCCGTTGGCTTCGCTGGCCAGACGGTCACGTGAGCCCAGGACCCTGCAGCCCTCAGGAATGGGAACCGGTCGCAGAGTGTCCGAATTTTGATCCTGTGGCCGACCCTCCCCCCCCTCCCCCCGAGGATGCTCCAGCGGCCCCAGGTATTTAACACGAAAAGGGCCGCAAGCCCCTCCCCCCCTCCACTGGCGCCCTTCCCACTCCCCAGGGCCGCTCAACAAACGGTGGGGAGTCCAGGGCCCCCTGCAGCTGCCCCCCGCGGCCTCTCTTGAGTGGGGGAGGGGAGGGAAGAGGGGGGGGTTCCACCTTCCAGGCTTACTGGGTCCAAAGCACCTTGAGTGGGCGGGGGGGAGGGGGGAGGGGGAGGGGGCGGGCCTGAATTCAGAGGCTGAAGACAACGGGGCCTCCGGGGGGAGGGAGGGGGAGGGAGGCAGAGGGCGAAGGGGGCACCGGTGGGATCTCCTGGTGGCCTCCCATCCCTCCCTCCGCCTCAATCAGCGGGGCGGGGCGGGGGGGGGGCCGCGCTGACCTTTGTTTCCCACGGTGGCTGAGGGGCCGGCGGGTCCGGGCCCTTCCTCCCGGCGGCGGGGAGGCGGCGGGGGCTGCGGGACCACCGCCTCGGAGGAAGGGAAGAAGCCGGGGCCCAGGCGAGCCCTTTTCCCGGGGGGTTCACACTCGGGCCCCGCGCTCATGCTGGGGGGGGCGACCCAGGTCACCCCCGGGGGACGGAGGAGACCGGACCCATCCTCCCGCTTCCGCTTCCTCGTTTCCCCGCCGAGCCGGAAGGCGACTGTCGCAAAGAGAGAGAGAGAGAGAGGCGGGGGGAGGAGGAGGAGGAGGAGGCGGAGGAGCGGATGGCGTCGCGAGGGGATGACGTCGTTGGCGCTCGTCGCGCCGGGCCCTCCACGCTTCTCGCGCTTAGAGGTCGTCCGCGTGGTGAAGGGGAGCTTCCGGTTCCAGGACCGGAAGGGGCGGTGCCGAGCGCAACGAGGCCCTGAGGAGAAGGAGCAGGAGGGAAAGGCGGCCCGAGGCCCTCCGCCGCCAGCATGGAGGGAGGCGCCGGGAACTCCAAGAGCTCCGGATTCGCCGGCCTCTTCGGCGCCGGAGGAGGAGTGGCGGGGCCGAGCTATTCGCACGCCGACCTGGCCGGCGTCCCTCGTAAGTGGGCCCGGCCGCTTCCCCCTCCGCCCCGCCCGAGGCTGAGGTGGGGGTTTGGGGCGGGGGGGGCGGCGGAAAAGACGCGGGAAAGAAGTCAAAGGGAGGCTGAGCGGTGGGCGGGCGAAGGGAGGCCTCCGTCCCTGGCTGAGCACGCACGTGGGGCGGCTGAGGGCGAAGAGGGCCCGGCGCTTCTGGTTTGCGGGGGTCGGGGCGGCGGTGCCACGGAAGGAGCTCCCCCCGGTTTAATGCCGCGGCATTGTGCCCTGCCCTTCCTTCGCCCGAGCAGGCTGGCCCGGCCTTCCTCCTTCACGAGCCCAGGAGCTCCCGGGACTTGGCGCCTCTGCTGGGTGGGGCTGTTGGGGCTGCGCTCTGCCTTGGCCGAGCTTCTCCTCCTTTGGCGGAAATGGAGTATTCTGCCTCTCTTCAGTGTTCCCCAAAACACGTCATCCTGGGAGCGGTGGGGGTGCGTGTGTGTGTGGGTGGGGGGGAACCTTCCCGCAACCTCTTTCGGGGTGTGTGTGTGTGTGGAGGGGGGGGGGGAAGGGATTCCGTCCTTTTGGTTTCAGGGCTGCTCTGGGCCCCCAGGGTGAAAAGGGATTCGTCCCTTGAGTTAGGCTGCTGCTATTATTATCTTCATTAAACATGAAACTCAACTGAACATTCAAAAACGCATCACAAATGCCATTGACGGGGGCTAATGGTTGATAGGGGTTTTTCTGCCAGCGCCCTAGGGATCAACCAAGTACCTTCCGAGTAGCGCAGTTTTTTGCAGTCCCGCTGGTGTTATTGCAGGAGGCTGCAATTTGCTGATTTATCTTATAAAATTCTTGGACATGGTACCAAGTGCCCCTCACCGTGACATGTTTCATCCATAGCTGTGTAGTTTCAATGGCCAGGTTGCGATATTTCATGATTTTTTTCCAGTTCTTTTTCTTCAACTCTGTAGCCCTTCGGGATCTCTCATCCAAGCCTTGCTTATCTCCTGAATCCAGGCATCTCAGCCTCCTATTCTTTTCTTCAGGAGCTGGATCATGCTACGAGTCCCAAAATCCCCAGCCATCATTTGTTGATTTATTGGGATGATAAATGTTTGAACCCATCCGGAGTACGTATGGTGTGGAGTAACTTGCTTGGTGCCCATGTTTTTGTGGAATATTATAGGTCCAGTTTTAGACTTTAATAGCAAAGCTACTAGCATCACTGCACAGTCATCTAGCAATAGCACTTAGACTTAAATACCACTTCACAATGCTTTACAGCCCTCTCTAAGCAGTTTATAGATATAATCAGCCTCTTGCCCCCAATAATCTGGGTCCTCATTTTACCCACCTCGGAAGGATGGAAGGCTGAGTCAACCTTAAGCCTGGTGAAATTTGAACTGCCAAATTGCAGGCAGGCAGGCAGGCAGGCAGGCAGGCAGCAGCAGTGGCCTGCAGTACTGCACTCTAACCACCATGGATCAATTATAAACTATAGTAAACTATAAATGTGGCAGTTGTTACTTTCTCTGAAACTTTAATTTAATCCTGGGGAGTGAAGTTTCATACGTTGAAAGTTTATTGAATTGCTTGATATAGTTTGTAGGTGATCTAGGACATGTCCGGCCTTGGCTGCAGGTACCGTAATATGTGTCCCTGATGTTAGGCTTCATCTAAATTGTTATGAAAAATTGAAGGCTGGGAAGCAGAGATTCAGGGACACGGCTAGCTGATGACTATTTTTTTTTTTCAAATTCTAGATATTAGGAAGGACATAATTAGGATAGAAACCTGAAACTGCCCAGAAAAAGAACCTCAATATCATGAACACACATATATGCCTATAAGTTCAAACGTATTTTTAACTGACAGCTGATCATTGATATTTATATATTCTTATTAAAGGAAACCTGTTTGCAGATCCTTTTGAATCTGATCTGGTCCTTCCTGCCCCTCAGAACTGATTTAAACTGAAGCACAATTAGAAACTCAGTCTACTTATGAGAAAGTACAGATAGTCCTCAACGTACGACCACAGTTGGGACCAGAATTTCCACGGCCAAGCAGGGTCATTGTTAAGTGAATTGCATCTAATTTTACAACCTTTCTTGCCACACTTCACTGAATTACGTGGTCATTAAATGAATATGACTTCTGTTCACTCTGCTTATTGGAAGCTGGCTGGGATCACTGCAGGTGGTGATTGCATGAACTCCGGGATGTGGCAACCATTGTAAATACATGCCAATTGCCAAGCACCCAATTTTTTAAAAAATATTTTAATTTTTACATATCAAATCAATACATGAACAGTGTGTCATATATTCTAGTATGAATAAAACTAGTAAAATTAATCATAGTTATCACCTTCAGTCAACTTACATATTTCTAATAATGATACATGTTAAACTGCAATCTGTCATTCAGTTGTTCCATGTTTTCTCTTTAATAAAAGTGTATACACTACTATTTTTCCTTCTCATTTCTGTCACTTATTCTAACTTTTAATCATGTCACCCTTTACTAAAAAACATTTTCTTTCTGTCTTACCTAACTTCTAGTCATGTCACCTACCTAAAAAAAGAAAAGGAGAGAGAAAAGGAAAAGCAAATCAGAACAACAAAAAAGAAAAATTATCTATCCATTGTCTCTTGCCCTCTTCAATACTTTAATTGCTATGCTTTTTTTGATTTGCCTCCCAAATTCCTCTCTTGAATCTTTATCTCTGTTTGCCTCTGCTTCTTAGCTATTCAGTCTAGGTATTTCTCCCACCTCTGCCCTCTTCCACTGCCTAGTTTCCAAAATTTCTGCCCAGGCCCCTATCTCCCTTTCAAACGTATCTTCCAACTCTCGTAATACATTTTCCCCCTGGTTTAATTCATCAATCACTCTTATTTTCATTGTTATCTCCTCTTTGTCTTCTTCCTTCATTTCTTCTGCTGACTCCTCCCTTTCCAAAATTTCTGCCCAGGCCCCTATCTCCCTTTCAAACATATCTTCCAACTTTCTTAATACATTTTCCCCCTGGTTTAATTCATCAATCACTGTTATTTTTGTTGTTATCTCCTCTTTGTCGTCGTCTTCCTTCATTTCTTCTGCTGACTCCTCCCTTTCCTGGGCGTCTTGGTCTTTACTCATCATCCCTTGTATAGTATTTTCTATTTTTTCCGTAATCTACTTAATCTACTTTTTCCATGATGTCTCTGTTTTGAAAAAGTAACACCATCTCCTTTGAAATTCCATTCATTTCTTCCTTATAAAGCATCTTATTTTGTTTTAAAGGAATCAGCTTTTGTCCAGCAGTCCAAGAACTATTTATTCAGTCCTTAAGTTACCCTTCAAGGAGTGCAGTAGTCCCAGTTCTTTATATCCCATAGGTAAACAGTTCCATTTAGATAATCCCAGAGGTTATTAAAAGCCTCTTTACGTTCCCTTTACAGGTTCAGTCTTCTAGTATAACATTCAGGGGTCCCTTTAATTAAATAACTTTTTTTTGAGTCTCCAGTAGTCATAAGGTAGATAAAGATAATCCAATAGATACTTTCACAGTCCTTCATATAGGTATTCCCAGACTTGTAGTTTTTCCTTTTGTCAACAGGTGGCACTCTCAACTTATGTTTCAGTATTGCCACTAGTCAAACATTAGTTGTAAAATAATTATAAAAGCAGAATAAGTTTTGTAAGTAAATGATTCCAGCATTTTAAAATGCCTTCCCATTACCACGTCTTCCCAGTTTAAGAGTCTAATTTTCTGTGTTTCAAAATTTATTATTTTTCTCTCCTCCTTTCACTTCCAGTCTGGTACTTTCTCAGAATGCTCAGATGCCGCTTTAACAAGTAATTCTGAGCAAATAGTTCTAAATTGTTCCTTGGGGTTAAATTTAAAGCAAAAGGAACTCCTCTCCCCCAGTTCCAGTCACTGTTCAACAACTTCGCTCTAGCACCAGTCTTAGTTGTTTATTGGTTGTCCCAGCTTTGTGGCAGCCATCTTTAGGCTGCCTCTTCTTGCCGTGGCTGAGAGGGAAAAAGAACCCTGGGTCAGACAGGAGAGCTGTGACTCTCCTCGACCTCACATGGTACCCCTCTTCGCTTCATTGCCCCTACAAGGCGGCTTTGGCTCCTCTCGGAGCCCACAAACAGGGAGAAATCGCACAGTGAACGTGGAGCCCCGTTCACTGTGTCTGAAATCGCTGCGATGTCAACTGGAAGTCCCCCCAGCACCCAATTTTTGATCATGCGATCTTGGGATGTGGTGAGAGGTGTAAGTGCGATTGTAAGTCACTTTTTTAGTGCTGCTATAACATCAAACAGTCACTAAATGAATGGTTCTAAGTCTAGCATTACCTGTAGCCCTCTTTCTTTGAACTGTTTTTTATGCTAGCTTGGCATGCTTTCCAACTTGAAACCTTTTTTTTCTTGCAGTGACTGGAATGAATCCCTTGTCCCCATATTTAAATGTTGACCCCAGATATCTTATACAGGTGAGACATCCGTGATTGCTTGATGTGTACTTGTTTGTGAATCAATTTTCTTTTTTTTTTCTTTTAAATTTTTTATTGTATTTTTATTGTTAAAGAATAACAGAAAAAAGAAAAAAAACAATACAAAAATCAATAGTAAAGAAATCAACTTTCGAAAATGCATTGGGGTTTGTGTGATTATATAAATTATTTGATGTATAATAGAGGTAGTCCTCAAGTTGCAACCATAATCGAGCCCAAAATTTTTGTTGCTAAATGAAATATTTGTTAAGTGAGTTTGCCCCATTTTACGAGTTTTCTTTTTTCAGTGCCGCTGTAACTTTGAACAGTCACTAAATGAACTGTTGTAAGTCAAGGCCCACTGTATGGTGGTTTTGAATAAGATTAAAATAGGTAACTCAAAACATTGTTCATGAAGACTTGGCAGCCTGGCGAACACAATTGTTTGTGGTCAGGAACTGTTTTCTTTATCCTCTGACTGGAGGACTTCTTGAAAACATCTGGCTGACTTCGGGTGAAAACACATTTCTCCCACAACATATTTGGGAAGGTCAAGCAAGAAACAAATGGATTACTCTGTCATGAATAATACTACCTTAGATTTTAAATACATCACACAAGGGCCTGTGTAACCTAAGGTCTTATGGCACAAATTTATTTCCACTCTATTTGGATGTAATACAAATTCCTTTTCTACCAACTGCCAAATGGAAAGTTACATAGCTGGGTCCATTTTTTGAATTTGAAAAAGTATCAGTTTTTTTCCCTTGCTTTATATCATTTAAAAAGAAAATATTAGAGACACTTTCACGATCCATTTTTATTTTTTAGAGAGAAGCAAACCTCAGTGAAAGGTTCTTTTTTTTTCCCCTGTGGGTTTTTCCAGTCCTTCCCATCTGTAGACCTGGCCCTAATCTCAGAGCTGAATATATTTTGTTCCTAAATTCCAGCGGTGGTCAGCTGTCAGTGTCAGAACTGTGTCTTTGACAGTGTTACACTGCTGGGAGAGAAAGATACTGTGTGTTTAGCTGTCTGTCATTTTCTCCGTTCTGGAGGTAACTGACACCAGCGTTAGCAGTATTGTGCTTTTCTGAGAGTGTGTTGAGCAGACAATCTCCTGGTCAGCACTAGTCTGAAAGCATATACAAATTGCACAGCTATGGGTTGGCTTTAATTTCTGAAGCGGGGGGGGGGGGTATTATGCAACAGTGTAGTACAGCTTATTACATCAGCCATGTCAATAGTAACTAATACTGGATTAAGAACGTATTACAGCTTCTCACTGCTGAATAAATGAAAATAACATTTATTTGTACTATAGAAATACAATTGTTCGCTTTTGTAGGGCTTAGTAAAAACTGTTCGAATATTCAAAAGGAAAATGGGTAGACTCTTTTCCCTTCTATTTTATTTACGGGGTTGACGGACAATTAACAGTTTAAGAGTAAAAGAGTATCATGTGCTTCATTTCATGAAACTAAGGAATTCATGTGCGGATATTGCTGAAAAGGATCGTTTTTGTTTCAGGATACAGATGAATTCATTTTACCTACTGGAGCTAATAAAACCAGAGGAAGATTTGAACTGGCGTTCTTTACAATTGGCGGATGTTGTATTACCGGTGGGTCACCATTTTTTATTGATATCACGATGTTGGATGGATGTTTCTGTTTGGTAGAATAAAGAGAGAGAAGTAATCAGTCAATTCTTCAAAGTTCCCTTTGGGCAGATAAAGAGTTGCTATATTTGGTGTGTATCAAAAGATGCAACGCCAGTTTGTGAGACTGAATGAACCCTTTAAAAATCTCTACCGTATACTGCATGCAACTCAATTTTTTAAATAAAAGTTATATTTTATCTATTTGACTTTAGCAGTTTTGTAAGCAATTTAAAGACTGTTGAAGATTGCTTGGAGAGGTTATTTATTTTACTATACATTCACGAAGCATACTTTATTATTTATTAGGGAATCACTGTAAATTATAGTATTCATTTTTATTCATAAATGTGTTTGAACCTTGTGCTTTGATATGGCCTATAGCCGTGATGGCAAACCTGTGGCATGTGGAGCCATATCTGCGGCCATGCGAGCTATTGCCCTAGCTCAGCTCCAGTGCACATGCACGCTCCGGCCAGCTGATTTTCTGTTGGCCCCGCCCATGCCTCCCCTCCCAGGAGTTTCCATGCAGCCCATTTTGGATGCCAGGTAAGTACAGGCCTCGTGCGGAGGCTCTGGGAGAAAGCCTCTGGAGCCTGGGTAGAGTGAGAAACGGGCCTTTCAGGCCCACCGGAAGTCTGAAAACAGGCTGTTTCCGGCCTCTGGGGGTGAGGGGGAGGCCATTTTCACCCTCCCCATGCTCCAAGAAAGCCTCTGGAGGCTTCAGGGAGGCCTGCTAGGGTTAGGGGGGGCATTGAATTGTGGGTGTGGGCACGTGCTTTCGGCACCTGAGGAAAAAAAGGTTCGCCATCACTGGCCTCTGGGCTAATCAATAAAGCTATCTACGCTCATAATGTGACCAGGGTGGATTTGATTTAAATCAAGTCGATTTAAATCACGATTTAAATCACTAGTAAAAAAGGCTTGATTTAAATCTACTCTTTAAATCGTAATTTTTAAAGAGCAATTGTTATCTCTGTCCCGCAGCAGCTCATCCTCTGACCTGTGGTTAACTCACCGACAGTCCCAATATTGCAGAATATACAGCCTCATGCTACATAACTAAGCTCCATTTCATGCTCAATAAACTAAATTATTAATGTATCTTGAATAGAAAACTATCTTTAGATAGATTTTTACTCCAAAAGCATTTTATGAAAATAAATTTGATAAAAAAAAATCCATTTAAAATTTTAAGAAATCCGATTTTATTATTTTTAAAAAAAATCCTTGCTGTTTATCCACACTGAATGTGACTAATAAAAGCATCACTGTCACAGTAATGTTGGAGAACAATTCATTGGTTTTAACTACAAGCATGAGATTAATAATCCTTTTTACACATTGTTCTGTTCTGATTTATCTGAACAGGAGCTGCTTTTGGGGCATTAAATGGCTTGAGACTAGGTTTGAAGGAGACACAAAACATGGCTTGGTCCAAACCTAGGAATGTACAGTAAGTATTGGATTTCATTAGGGGCCGTTTACTTTGTTCTCTGTTTTGAGGATTCAAAGCTATTCTTGATGTGCGACCAGGGTGGGTGTCCCACGTTTGCTCACTCTCTGCTCTGGTTGGCTGGTGGTGTCAGTGAGGTCCAGGAGGTTGAGGCAAACGAAGGTTATTGGAGCTGTATGTAAAAGATGCAGGGGAATCAGATATGAAGGATACCCTAAACAGTCTGTCCCTTTTCTGCTAACACGTTTTAAATTTGGGATGAATTTATTATTTGATAGACCTAAAAAAACCCCTCATCATAAATTAGAAAAAAAGGGCTCAAAGGGATGACTTATACAACCCGGGAAATAACTTCATTTTTAATGAACCTTTGTTGAAAGACTCTAGTCAAAATGGTGCCATGTAATTGTACCGTTGTTCTTAGTTTATTTTGGAACGGCAGTTGCATTTAAATAGGCTAGAGAGGGCATATTTTTGCATTTTCTGTTTGGGTGACTAAAAAAAAATGTGTGACTAATAACTAGATGCTTCTGGAGGTCATTTTAAACTTAAAAGTGGTTATTTGAACCAGCAGATGGCGCCAAACTTCAATTAGCCTTTGTGAGGAAGACCGTAAAGGTAGGGTTGTGGAGGTGTGTGGGGGTTTTTTTTTCCCCCCTAAGCCTTGCTTTATTCCGCAAGCATGGCTGGGACAGGAGAACAATCATGGAGGGTTGCAGATTTCTGGGGGACAAAAGGATAGACTTGATTGCCACTTTGAATGTACACTAACTGGCATATATTAAAATGAAACTTTATTGCATACAGCTCTCCACCTTCAAAATACACTACGTAAATATGATAAAATAAATAAATAAATACAAAATTATACATATACCCACATATATTATATGACACAGAGAAACAACACAGTCTAGTTCGGATGTATACATGTACATGGCGAGAGAAACGAATCCCGTGAGTTTACCAGATGGATGGCACAGGAAACAAAGCTGTTACAGAATCTGGTAGTCCTGCCTAGAATTACTTTGAAACCTCCTCCCAGAGGGGAGCGACAGACACACAGGTGGATGTGGGGTCTCCAACAATGCTGGATGGAGAAACAGAGGTACAGAGTAGCTCCCCTTCAGATGACCTTCTGAAAAAACAAATTCACGATGCAGACCCAGTGAGGATGGGAAGCACTGATTTGGGCAGGGGTGTCCCGTAGAGCCAGGAAAGAGAGAGTAGCACCAAACTCACCAGTGTGGGGCTCTGCTAGTAAAAAACAAAACAAAAACACAACCCTGAATGTTCACTATTTTCATCACCGGGGGGGGGGGGGGGGGGGGGGGGGGGGGGCTTCTCACAGCATCCTAAGGTTTGTGAAATCCTGCCTTAAGCCAAGAAGAAGCCATTTCCACCAGCAGGCTCCTGTATAGATGCCCTGGCTTGGTAAAATATTCATACATCCAGGGGTCTCTTTTGTGTATAAATTGTTATTGCCCCCAGGGCATATTGAAATTTCAGAACATATTTCTTTGCAAGTTCGTTTTCCCAGCCTAGAAATGATGGACACCTGGGCTTTCCTCCTATTCGTTTCACATAAAGCCATAATGGGTTTTGTTTGAATTCTGAGCTATAGTGAGCGGTATGAGCGTGAAGGTAGAAAACAAGCTCTCGTTGGTTAAAAAAATTGATCAATCTTACTCACGCCTTTGACAGTAAACTACTATTATCTGTTGTTCTTCCCCTGGTGAGGATTAGTTAGAAGCTTGATCAGGACACAAAAATAAACTAAAAAGTTATTTGTTACTTCCTGGCTTCTTCCTGCTTTCTTTTTTGGCTTCTAACCGTTCCACTGCAAGGGGAGATGAACTGAAAGGGCAGCAGACAGTTAACTTTGCCTATTTGCAATACTGATTTTAGCTTTCAACAAACTGGCTTTTTCTGTATGTGCAAGTAAGCTAGAATGACGAGTGACATTGGTAGCATGTGAAACTGAAATAACAAGCCGGATCCAAAGCACCGCAGTTGCTGCAAATATTCATCTCCCTCTTGTCCATGTACCAGAACGTACTTTCAGGACAGAGAAAGGTATAAATTCAATTAGTTTTCCTCATGCTTTCTCAGACCTATATTATAGAAAGGTCTCTAAACCCAAGAGTTTAGAGAAAGCGAGTCCCCAAACTCACCTGCTTTGAAGGCTCTTTAACCCAAGGCAGAACATTTTTCCACGAGTGGAAGACTTGCTTCATATCCCAAAGAAGATTTTTTTTCCTCTTCTTTGGGGGTGGGTGGGTGGGGGGGGGGCTCCTTTCCAGTGGTAGTCAGCTGTCTGGGTCACTTCCATGTCTTTGACAGTGTTACACTACTGGGAGATAAAAGGACCGTCTTGGGGTCTGTTCCGGAGATGGTCGACGTGGCCTTTGCGGTCACACTGGGCTTCCTTGCAAGTGTGCTGAGCAAAACAGACCCGGTCAGCACGGGTTTGGAAGCAAACACACACATGTTTCTCCGGTGCAGGGTATGTGCCTTTGATTTTTAAAGGGAAGGCACTGACGTCTATTAAGATACTTTGAGTTTCTAATGTTTTCTAGAAGTTACAAATTTTAGCAAATGTACGGTCATTGTGTATTTTAAATTCTATTTTATTATTTATTAGTTTGATTTATATGCCGCCCTTCTCCAGAGACTGATCAAATCAAAAATGATTTGAATCAAAAAAATCTGATTTTTTTGATTTTTTTTTTTAAAAAGCATTGATTTTTATCCACCCTGCTTTTAAGCAATAGCCTTCATACTTTTGTACATACCTGCTTAGTAGGGATTTTGCCCCCCCCCCAAAGCGGTGTTCTATTTTATAAAGTAGCTAGAGTCAGCTTATTGCCCCCACAAACCGGGTCCTCATTTTACCTACCTTAGAAAGGATGGAAGGCTGAGTCAACCTTGAGCCTGGTGAGAATTGAACTCGCAGTAATTGCAGGCAGCTGGCAGCTAAATACTACTTTAACAGTAGTTTAGTCCACTGCACCACCAAGGCTCCTATGTTTATGGTACTGATACAGTGCCCTGCAATTTATAATTTTATGACTGATTCACAGTCAGAATGCAGCCATGGAACCAGAAGATGTCAGCAACCCAAAAATAAAAGTCTGGAAAATGAATTTCACAGTAAAACCAGCCCAGCCAAACCGCAACCACCTAGCTTCATCAGGCAGCAAAGGCAAGCCATATTAACCGGTTGTCCGTCCTTCGGAGGATCATACCGGCTGCTTCCTGAAACTGACGAGGAAGCCACCCACCTCTGAGCCCAGAGTTACTCGTCCACTTTCAGACCATCTCTGCCTAAACAGATCACCAAACCAACTTCGCCTTGCTGCATGCTGGGATTCCTCCTTGGTCCTGATCTGCTCTCCACAGACGAGCCACAGTGCGCATATTGAATTTCCCCCAAAAAGAGGTGCTTGGGATGGCCACGTGCTTTTCTGAAGGCACCCCGGTCGATCAGGAAGAGTGATAGATGGTGCAATCTGTGCTGCCTGTCATTGGCTCCGCATGTGCTCACTCACTAATGACCAGGTGTCAGAAGAAGCACCTGGCAATAAAATGGTTGAGACCACTTTTCTGTTCTATAAAGTAGCTTGGGAAGAAAGTCTTCTACTGGCCAAATCCTTACAATGGTGGAAACCTAGAGAGAAAATCTCTGTTGGGGACTCACTGCAAAGTAGTTGTATTACCTTTTGCTTACTCTCCAGCTGAATCAAACGATGATCCAATTGCCTTGACTTTCATTCCCAGGAGACTTTGTTATGGATTTCCTTATCAGGAAACGGGATTCAGCCTCTCAAGGTGGACTGCTAAATACATTTAACCAGCATGCTTAGGGAGAAGAGTTTTAGTAACATGTTGATGCCTAGTGCTTTTCTCCAGAGTTGAAAAATTAGACGCTAAAGAGATCCTTAAATGAGGATCTGCTAGGAACCTACCTTGTTTTTCATGTACACGATCATTTATCTTGTTAGATACGAGTCGTGATTCTTCAGGATCTAGCAGATCAGTTCATTCGCTACTTGGTTTAAACTGTTTATTGTTGAAATAATTGCTGTTTGTATTGATTGTGCTGCAGTAAATGCTAATTATGCAAGTGGTTTTAACATTTTTTTTTGGCCACAGATTGATTGGGTAGTGCCGAATTGGATTTACATAAAAGTGCCAGATTTACTTGACAATACCGTCTTAAAGTTAGATAAACATGTTGGCAGGAAATCACTTTTACTCCATTGCTAATCCAGATATTATGTAGTAAAATTAAATGAAAATATTTGTGTAACACACAGTTCCTTTTCGTGGAAAGGGTTGCCTCATCCTTTAATTATCATTGCCTAATGTAAAACAAGTTATATAAGACAGGGTGTTGGCAGGCAATGTTAAATTGACTGACCTATTATTTGGGTGTCTTACTAAACTTCCCTCTTGTTACTTTCTTGAAGGATTTTAAATATGGTGACACGGCAAGGAGCATTATGGGCAAACACTCTTGGATCTCTAGGTAAGTAGGCTTGTTTCACAAACTAAATCTACAAAACTCTGTTTTTCAAAAATAAAAAGTACATTCTAGGATGCTAAAAGAGAAGGAAATTTTAAGATCCAGCTGGAACTGTATGACAGATCCAGGAGCTCTTACCGACCGACTGACTGGCATAAAGATAGTCCTTGATTTATGACCGCAATCGGGATCAGAATTTCCATTGCTAAGCAGGGCAGTGTTAAATGGGTCACAGCCCATTTTACGGCCTTTTCTTCCACGATTATTAAGTGGATCACGCAATTGTTAAACGAATCTGGCTTTCCCCATTGACTTTGCTTTTGTGGGAAGTCAGCTGGGAAGATCCCAAATGGGAAGATCACGTGGCCTCACGGATGCTGCAGCCATTGTAAATATATGGCCAGTTGCCAAGTGGCTAGATTTTGACCACAGGACCGTGGGGTGCTGCAACCGTCCTAAGACCCTATTTTTCTGTCCTGTGGCAACTGAACGGTCACTAAACAAATGGCTGTAAGTAGAGGACTACTGGAAGAGTGCTTTCACTCCAAATTCATGGATTAAAGCTGTTGATTATTATGCTGCTCACTGAAGATTCAGAGGCCCACTTCACCCTACACGCTGCCTACGGAGCAGATCTAGATTGCCACCCTGGAAAACAGGCCCTAAGACTTTGGCTCAAAGATGACGGGGTTCAAAATTCCAATCAGACCGGTGATACATTAACAGACGCTTCACAGCTGTGTTGGTTTATCTTGGGTAACGTTCCTCTGTGTTCCTGATCTTTTACCCTGACCTGCTTTTGTGCAAATAACATAGATTCAGCAGGCTGATAGGTTACTGGAGAGAGAGGGGAAGGTGAGAAAATGTCTTTTTAGGACTCGGTTCCAGCAGCTGCGCATCCCCAGATCAGCCTTGCCATCTCATTAGCCTGATAGATGTTTTGTTGCACGACTATAAAAGCTAAAAAGAGACAACTCTTCCATCATTAGATCTGGGTTTGTGTACGTGTGTGTGCAGGGTCTTTGAGTCTAACATGAATTGCAGGAGGAGGGGTTTGCTTGACAGTAGCACTAGCAGCAGCACTTAGACTTATATACCGCTTCACACTTCTTTACAGCCCTCTCTTAAGCGGTTTTACACAGCCAGCATCTTTCCACTGACAATCCAGGTCCTCATTTTACTGACCTGGAAAGGACGGAAGGCCAAGTCAACCTTGAGCCGGTCAGGATCGAGTTGCCGGCAGTCGGCAGAGTCAGCCTGCAATGCTCCCTTCCAAATAATGCACCAGCATAGCAGTAGATGGCAGCACCCACTGATCTGGTCTGCCATGGGTCTGATCTGGTGGGATGAGGGGCCTCCACCATAACATCACCACCACCACCACCAGCAGGAGGGCCAAGCATAACCTGAGTGCTCTTCTGGCCAAATTGAATCAACTACCGCTATTAAAAAGAGAGCAAGGTAAACAACAGCTGCTTCCAAGTGAGCGATGGGCATTCCGAAGCCTTTGCCATGCTTGGGCACAGTTGTTGCTTTCGGAGGGTGGAGCTAGTTTTAAAAAAAAAGGATCCTTTTTGAATCTGATCTCAGTTTCAAAAAGAAAAAAGAAACCTGCATGGCCCTCCGTGCTGAAGAAAGGTGTGCCTGTGGCTCCCTTTTGTGACTGGGGGTCCCTCTGGCTGCTCCCTTCCAGGTGCAGGGCAGGAGGAGCTTCAAGAGAAGGTTGGAAACCACCGAGTTCTTCTTACGTTTTGCTGCTGGTGGTGGTGGTGATGAACAGGGTGGCTGATCAAATACAGGCAGTCCTCGACTCACGGCCACAGTTCAGCCCCAGATTTCTGTTGCTAAGTGGAACATTTGTTAAATGAGTTTTGTTCATTTAACGGATGAACAATTGTCACCAGTTAAATGACAATTGTTCAGTGACAATCCCCGTGTTTAAGCGAATAGAGCGGTTATGTAAGGAATCCGGCTTCCCCATGGACTTTGCTTGCCAGAAGGTCTCCAAAGGGGATCCCAGGGACATTGCAACGGTCGTAAATATGAGTCAATGGCCAAGCGTCGATCGCTCAACTACAGGAATGCCGCAATGGTGAAAAGCACTCCCTTTTTCTGTGCTGTCGTGAACTTCCGACGGTCCCTAAATGAACTGCTGTAAGTCAAGGACTCTGTATACAAAAGGCAGCATCCCTTCCTGCAGCTCCAGCGGGGGCCTCCGTTGAGCTGAAATCCTGGAGGAGAGGGCAGCTCTTTCAATTTCGCAGCCTCCACTGGTCAGCCTGCAGCCACAAGGCCCGTGAGGAAGGCAGGCAGGGAACCTGGGTTTCGCACAGGTTAGGAATGTCCCTTGGTTCCCCCCAAGCCCAGCCTGAGGAGGAAGGGGGGGGAAACAAAGTGGGGCTCCCCTGACGGACCTTCTGGTTTCCTTCCAGCGCTGCTCTACAGTGCCTTTGGCGTCATCGTGGAGAAAACACGGGGGGCCGAAGACGACCTCAACACGGTTGCAGCTGGCACCATGACGGGGATGCTGTATAAGAGCACAGGTAAGTGGGGTGGTGGTGGCAGCAAAGCCACTTTGGCTCCTGCCAGGTTTCAGACTGCAGGCAGTCCTCGGCTCAACGGCCACAATTGAGCCCCATGGTTCTGTTGCTAAGCGAGGCAGTGGTTAACTGAGTTTTGCCCCAAGTTACAACCTTCCTTGCCACAATTCTTAAGCGAAGTGCTACAGTTGTTTGGTTAGTCACACGGTTGTTAAGTGAATCCAGCTTCCGCATGGACTTTGCTCGTCAGAAGGTCACAAAAGGGGATCACATGACCACCATCACACTGGGACGCTGCAGTGGTCGTAAGACTGTGTCTGTTGCTGAGCGTCTGAAGTTTGATCACGTGATCCTGGGGATGCTACAAAGGCAAACAAGTCACTTTTCTCAGTGCCCTTGTAACTCTGAACGACCATTAGTTGAACAGTGTTAATAGCTAGAGAAGAAGGCACCGTTCTTAATTTTTCCTCCGGCTATCGACCAGGGAGTCTTTGTCATTATACCTGACAGGTGGCTAAACTCCACCACCCCTTTGGCCCTGCTGACTGCCAGGCGAAGGTTTCCCAGCAAGCTCCTCCCGGGAAGCGGGAGCAGGACAGAAGCCACGTGGCTGCTCTGAAGGCTGTAGGGAAAAAGACATTGGGCCTTTCTATTTGCCTGAACTTCTCCCTAGTCCAGCTTTAATAGCCCCCTCTTCCTTCAACTCGGCCTTGGTCAGACGTTATTGGATGCAATAAAGCTATTTGTTCTATTTGCTTAAAAGATAAAGTGAACATTAAATCTTAAAAGGCAGCTTTGCTTTACTTGTCCTCAGAGTGACACTTGATACCAGCCACCATTTCTTGTACTAACAATGTTCGTTAGATAAAATATTGGCATTATGTCTGCAAATTGTCATTTAATACTTTGTTCAAAACAAAGTGTCATAAACATTAAATATCAGGATAATATACAGGTAGTCCTCAACGTATGACCACACTTCAGCCCAAAAGTTATGTTGCTACCTGAAACTTGTGTTAAGTGAGTTTTGCCCCACTTTACAACTTTTCTTGCCACGGTGGTTAAGTGAAACACTGCAGTGGTTAAGTTAGTAACACGGTTGTTAAATGAATACGGCCTCCCAATTGACTTTGCTTGTCAGACGGTCACAAAAGGGGATCACGTGACTCTGGGACTCTGCAACCGTCATAAATATGAGTCAGTTTCCAAGCATCTGCATTTTGATCACATGACCATGGAGGTCCCACAGCAGTCATAAATATGAAAAAGGTAACTTTGAACAGTCACTAAATGAACTCTTGTAAATCAAGGATTACTTGACCAGTAAAGTCCGGTAAAGCCTTGTTTTATCTTCAAGACTTGCATTATGGATTTACTCTCCTTTGAGGGCTCTTTAACACAAGGCAGAACATTTTTCCACAAGTGGAAGACTTGCTTCATATCCCAAAGAAGATTTTTTTTCCTCTTCTTTGGGGGTGGGTGGGTGGGGGGGGGGCTCCTTTCCAGTGGTAGTCAGCTGTCTGGGTCACTTCCATGTCTTTGACAGTGTTACACTACTGGGAGATAAAAGGACCGTCTTGGGGTCTGTTCCGGAGACGGTCGACGTGGCCTTTGCGGTCACACTGGGCTTCCTTGCAAGTATGCTGAGCAAAACAGACCCGGTCAGCACGGGTTTGGAAGCAAACACACACACGTGTTTCTCCGGTGCAGGGTATGTGCCTTTGATTTTTAAAGGGAAGGCACTAACGTCTATTAAGATACTTTGAGTTTCTAATGTTTTCTAGAAGTTAAAAATTTTAGCAAATGTACAGTCATTTTAAATTCTGTGTTTATGGTATTGATACAGTGCCCTGTTCAGCTTAACGGCACTTCATTTAAGGGACGCTCCTTGAAACAAGAGGCAGTAGAGAGACCACGTATGGAGTAGCATAAGACAATGCAGAATGCTTAAATTTTTGTAATAGGGTCATAGTGCAAACAACCTAGAGCAGTGATGGCTAACCTTTTTGCCATCGCGTGCCAGGAGAGGGGGGGGGGCGGGGGAGGGTCACGCACCCAACCCCACCCACCCCCGCTCCTGGCACATGATAGCCTGGTAGGCCCATTTTTCTTTCTTACCTGGTTCCAGATCCTTTCTATGCATCTGGGAAGGGCGAAAACAGCCTTTCCCACTCCCTTGGAGGCCCTACGGAGGTTGAAAGGGCCCATTTCCCAACTCTTAGTGGGACAGGAAGTGACTTTTTTCCTTTCCCCAGACTCCAGAGACTTCTAGAGAGGCTCCTAGAGAGGTTCTGGAGGCTGGGGACAGCAAAAAATGTCACTTCCTGTCCCACCGGGAGTTGGGAAATGGGCCCTTTCAGCCTCCGTAGGGCCTCCAAGGGAGTGGGAAAGGCTGTTTTCGCCCTTCCCAGATGCATAGAAAGGATCTGGAGCCAGGTAAGAAAGAAAAAAAAGGCCTTCCTCACCTACCCCCAGGCCCTCCAGAGGCAGGAACAGCCTGTTTCCCTACTTCTAGTGGGCCCAGAAGGCCCGAAAATCAGCTGGCTGGCATGCACATGCACCCCAGAGCTGAGCTGGCGTGCCCACTAATATGGCTCTGCGTGAGGTTCGCCATCACGGACCTAGAGCGTGGTATACTTCTACATTTAACAGACAGTCTGGAATAACGGATTCCCCCTTTCCCCAACGAGTGGGTCAATTCAAAGGTGTTCTGTATTCACATTGCTTCTTGTTTTAGTTGGCAACGGTGGGAGCTTAAAATCGCCTGAGGGAAATGCCTGTACAATAATTGAGTTTGTAAAATCCTAGGCAGTAGTTACCCTGGGAATGAGTACCATACAGATACCTGTTAGGACATGCGAGCACATTATTTCATGGAGTTGTGTTGTATGTTTTTTATTCGTTGCTCTTGAAGCATCTTTTGCAACATGCTTATCACACTGACCTAGTTTATGGCAGGCTTTGGGATCAGATTGTGTCCCGGCGTTTCAGAATCTGAGCATTTGGATAGCTTGGGCCCCAACAGGCTTGCACTCTGAATCCTGGCCAAAGGAATATCACAAGACTGTATGTACCCACCATGGCTCCTGAAGAAGTTTGACCCTGGAGTCTGGGTCCCAAGGATGACACCCTGGCCAGTGCAGCACAGTCTCCCTGCCTCTCCCGATTTCTTTTACAGGGGGAAGCAGCATGCCAGCCCCCAATCAGCTGGACTGCCCATTGCACACTTCTCCTTTGGAGAGAGAACCTGTTCAGATTGCAGAGGGTTTCTCCTGTGTAAATGGAGCCACGCAGCTTCTCCGTTGCTGGAGGCCCACAGAAAGGAAAGTGAACAGCTTCTGCGCAATTCATCAGTTGAGTCAGAGGTCACTTTATATCTTCACTTCTTTATAACGTCTGCATAATTAGGCGTGGCTTGTCAATCCACTTATCTGTGGTGGGCCCCTGCTCTTCCCAAGAGATAGGAAACTTAATATTCACCACACACGCAGATAGGCTGCCGGTCCTGCAGGAGACAGACAGACAGACAGACAGACTCTGCAGCATGAGTGGCTGGGGAATTCTGGGAGTTGAAGTCCACAAGTCTTTGGAGATGCCCCCCTCCCCCACTCTTCGGTTTTCAAATCTTCTGACCTGAGTAGCAGCTGCAGCGAGATAACCTACTTACGCTTGTGCCAGTCGGGAGGTGCGCATTTTCACGGAGACAACCGACCCCAGACAGTTGTCATCCAGTCGTGGTTCTCGCCTTTCTTCTTAACTGCTACCTGTGTGTACAAGACAGCAGTGGCATATTTCACTTGCAATTGCAGGGCCGTGTTCCGGAGAGACCTTACTAGCTGGGAAGAAAAATCCAGATATTGTTGTCAGGATAAACCCTTTAAAAAAAAAAAAAAAAGCTGTCCTACAGGTTTGCGTGAGTGATGACAAACAGCCCCTTTGTGAGGCTCAGGGGAGTTGACTGCTATCTCGCCCAAGCAGAAGGCTGATTGCAGGGGTGGAGGAGAACCGTGGAAGCCTATCACTTAGTAGACAGAAGGGGAAAAAGAGGAGTTAGAAAGGCATGCGTGGAGTATGGGAATCCCCTGCCCATCTGGGGCTCAGTTTGGCCTTTCCGTGTGTTTCAGGGCAAACTCAAGACGCCCGGCTTCTGAGGGCAAGCAGGGAGGCTGCAGAACTGCGCTCTGTTCCTCTCAGCTTTCAGGATATTGAGGAACACGAGAAAAGAAGTTTCATGCTGTATGAGGGGCTACTCTTTTCTAGCCTTGATGATTGCTGGCAGTCTGTTCGCTTCAACTTCGCTGCTCTTCATTTTTCTGGAAAGCACTTTTCCCACTGGGCAAATTTTTAAATCACGTTTGATGTGAAAACAGATGATGTGTTTCCCGCCTCTTCCTGCTTCAGTGTGACTTTGATAGACCATATCACTGCATTGCTCTGGTTGCATCGTATTTTACTTTTTTGTTGTTGTTGAATTTATTTGCTGCCCATCTCATAGCAAAGGACTCTGGGCAGCATCTTGATTACAACAATAGTGTCGTATGTGCAGGAATACCCACCACCATTTTTTGTAGGTTTGTGATGCTATTCAGTTATAATTGAGATGATTAAAGATCAGTGTCAGTATTCTAATGGGGCATAATTAATATGCAGATGGAAAGCCAGTAACCAAGGAACAGGCTCCCGAGTTCACGTCCACCCTTCCCATAGGCCAACTAGAGTTTTGCTAATAGAGCTTAAGTACTGGAATTGGATTTTCAAAATCAGCACTGTAAATGTTAAGAGTTTTTTTTTCCTTTGGTGGAGCCAGATCATGGCCACAAGGCTCTCAGCTGATTCGGAAGAGAGAGATTTAAGAAGAGAGTTCAAAAGACCAACCCTGATTCTCTCCCTCTTCCTCAGGGTGAGGAAAGGGCAGGTGTTACAAGAGGCAGTAGCTTGTCCTCTACATGCAGGAAAGGTAGTACCCCACCCCACCCTTTGCATATCAATACGTGAGTTTGCCCGTCCCTGAGCCTTCTTGCACGGACTTTGCAGATGGGCCTGCGTGCCTTGCTTGGGGGAAGAAGGTCCACCTTAGCCAAGATCTCACCTGGAAAAACAACATGCTCCAGGTGGTCAGGAAGGCTCAACAGAGACTCCACTTCCTTAGGGTCTTGCGGAAAAATCAGGTGGAACAAGGACTGATGAATTCCTTTTATCAGTCTGCAATAGAAAGCGTCCTCGCATATTGTGGGACATGCTTTGTGACTGCCGTGGACAGAAAGGCATTACAGAGGGTGATGAGCACAGCACAAAAAAAATCATGGGCTGCCCTCTGACCTCACTGGACGAAATCGCCAGGACCCGCTGCCTCAGCAGAGCGGAAAATCCTCAGGCCCAATCCTCAATTCACACCCTGGTCAGCGCTTCTTTACTCTCCTACCATTGGGCCGGAGATAGAGAAGCCCAGCCAGCTGAACGAAGAGGCTGAAGAATAGCTTTCATCCGTCGGCTGTCAAGACTTCTGAACGCAACGTAACATCATTAGGTTTAACAGGGTAGACTTGCAGGGCCACGGCCTGCAACATGTTCATGCCAGGGTACTGTGATGTTATATACATATATGTATATGGGAATGTGTGCTAGTTATTACTTATGTGGGTGTAGGGATTTTCTTTCCTTTGTTTGAGTTTGGGTTATTGAGGGGTAGTCTCTGTCAGGGAGGGGTGGGGGGCGGCGGCTGCACCAAGGGAGGCTCATTCAATCTCATTGTACACACGCTGTGTACAATAAAGGTTTGGTTTGATTTGGCTGCTCCACGCTGGCTGCTGACGTGTCTGTATTTACTGTTGCTTCATGTCCTCACAGGTGGATTGCGTGGGATAGCCAGAGGTGGCGTTGCGGGACTCATGCTCACAGGTCTCTATGCGCTCTACAACAACTGGGAGCATATGAGGGGCTCCATGCAACAGCAGTCCCTTTGAGCCGAGCAGAGGATGGAGCCTCCACCCAAGTAGTGCAATCAGACTTGACCCCTTCGTCATTACAGTACCTAGCGGACACCCCCCCACCCCCACACTCAAGGCCACTGGTTCTCACAGCCCGGTTCTTGAGCAGCGGCTGGTGAAAGGGGCCATTTTATCTGCCAAGATGAAGATCTCGTCTCCATAAGCATGTTCACTTTCGCTCAGTTTGTACACCGAGACCATTGCTTAATTTGACTGTAATAAAATGTGTGTGCTGAAAAACCGACTTCTGCTTGTGACACAGATGTTTCTAAAAGCTCCTGCCTACGGCCCCGCCTTACCAAAGCACCAGGGGTCGGCATTCAAATCCTTCCTTCGGAGCAAGGGGGACGAACGCCCCAGGTACTGTTGTTTCGCGGATCGTTTTCTGGATGCTGAGCTGAAAACATGTTCCGGTAATTTTCAACAATCCTTAGTAATAGACACAAATGTTGGAGTGCATGTTTTAAGAAGAAAAGTTCAACTTGTAAAACAGTTGCTTTATTAAGTCAGTTTCTAGAATGTATAGACCGAGGTTTGATGATTTCTTTTAAGTAAAGTTCTTTCAAAATGGGTTGGAAATGCCTTCGCCCCCTCCTCCTATTTACATGGCAGATTTCTCCTCTTGCCGCTCTGCCTCTTAAAGCAATTGTCAAGAGCTCTGTTCTGTTGTTGAACCTTTGCTAATAAGCTTGTGCAGAAAAGCAGGGGAGCAAGCACGTCACCGTACTCTCTCTCTCTCTTTTTGTAAGGTGATGATGCCCATCACCATGAAACTTGTCCCAGCCACAAATGACTCGTCGTCATTGGTGGGCTTAAATAGGGTTCGTACCCTGACGGTTGCAGACAGTTGCCCTGGGAGATTGAGAAAGCAATGGGATGCAGCCTCGGTAAGCTGTTCCCAGGTATGCCCGTATATTCACCAAGACTCAAGGCCGGCTTTCTGGTCCCAAGCAGAAAGTTTTGTTAAGGAAAAACAACTTCTGAAGAGCCTAACAAAACATTGAATAGAATTTTGCAGTTCTCCATCAACAGCAGATAAATGGTATAAAAAGGTCCAGAATGACATCACAAGCATTTTGATGCTTCTCTAAGCATAGAGCACCTCTGTGAAGCTTAAGAGAATCTGATCCACTCTTGTGATGTGAGGCAGTTTAGGAGTAGGGCTTAGGCGTTCTGTAGATTTCAGACACTAAACCGCGAATGAAGGCAAGTCCTTCATATAATGATACACAGCCGGATTCACCAGGACCAAGGATTTACTCCCCCGAGCTTCTTTAGGGAACGCCTCTCTTCTGCAATAGGTGCTTTGGGCTATTCCGTGAGTCGTACGTCAGCCAATAGGAAGGCACCACAGAAACACAACTCGTGGAATAGCCCAAAGCACCTATTCCAGTAGAGAGGCATTTCTTGAAGATGCGCTCCAATGTGAGTCTGAAAGCTCGGAAAAGGACCAACCCACCTTCCACCCATCAATCCCATCAACAGAGCTATGAAAAAAACAACTTCAGGCAAACGTACTTTTTATTCACAATGGTTTAATGGCATACTTCATTAGCATCACAAACATTTGTGTTTAACGTAAAAGACAGCATTACATATCAGTCAGGTCTTCCACAGGAACCTGAGCAGATACGTTCTTAAGCACTGAAAGGCAAATTTGTAAATAGTGGTTAATTCTTAGGACAGCCGGAAGGCCTATTATGCCTGTGAAATATCTAGCAATTAAAAGTGTACCTGTGGTAAGCCAAGAGCACTTCAAAAACAAAATTTTCATTTTTTAAAAAAAAATTAAAAATTTTAGCATCGCAACTTTTCAAAGTTTCCCCCACAAATTGTGGAAGCAGGTAAAAGTGATATTCAAACTTCAGCATTAAAGTTTCTAAGGTTACTGTCAACCTGTCGGGGGACTATAATTCATAGCGCGAGAGAAATAATTTTTTTGTTCATGCGATACAAAGGATACAACTTGTACTTAGTACTGGGCTTTAAAACCACACACATTTCACCCGCTCTGTGCTTAATTTCGCCCTCCCCCTTCCCATTCTAGTTACTTTAACCAGAATATCGCCAAAGTTGCCAGGTGCCCATGCCAATTATGATGGCTTGCCGTCATCTTACAGCAGAGAAGAGTGTGTATACATTATACAGAACACACAATTCAGAAGCGTCTGAATGACTTCGTAAGAGCTGTACCTCGTGAACATGTTCTGTAAATATATTTAAAATTAGGACCTGGAAACATGGCCAATGGTTTGTGCTCTGGATAAAATTCTGCGTCTCCCACCCCAGCTAAGGGTCATTCTGTCAGAATTTATTTCAAAATACTGGCTTTTACATTTAACGGCGGACGAGTCGCAACAGGCTCTTCACGTCCAGACCAAGAGAACCCAACAAGGACACTTCTGTTTGAGGACTCCAAGGTCCATTTTCTGCAGCTCAACACCAGCTACCTACAGCTTTTAAAGTGACATTTGAAATCTGGAAAAGACAGATGGTCAAAAACACAGGAGAAGGAACAGGCTGCAGTCACTCATTCCAGGGTGTGCGATAATCAGCAGGAAATCAAAGCAATCATTTGGATCACACTGCAGGGATGTTGTTTTTTACTTTTTTCACATCTAGGAAACATAAACCCAGAATTGTGTTAAAACAAAAACAGTGCTAATCAGGCTCCACCAGTAATATTTCAAAAGCGCAACGTCATTGCAGGCGTTCAGGAAAAGATTTTATCTATCTTGCTTAGCCCTGCCTTCACCATCCTTGGCAGGAGTGCTTTGTGCAATCTGAATGCTTAGCCAGGAAGATGAAGCGTCTGGATAGCCTATCTGGTGAGAATCAGCAGCCTTTTGTGGGGAAGCAGCCCTCCTAACGTTGCAAACTGATGCTTGCGCCTCCCCTAAACGAACTGTTGGAGAGAAGTCACATTAGGGTGCATGTTGGTGTAAAAACACCTATTTTTAGAACCCCTCACTGAACAAAACCTGCAAAAAATAATTATCACCCCACTGAATGAGAGACCCTAACCACCTGGCCACCCATTGGAATCGGCTGCTGGTTTCCAGTTAAGAGAAATGTGCTTCCCTGAATTTCTGGACCACATGAACTACAGCTGTAGTCAGAGGCCTTCCAAGCACCATCGGGTCAAAAGCGCTCGGTTAGATTCACACATTCTCCCGAGACACAAAAAGAAGCACCCTGATTGCATTAGCATCTTACCAGAAAGCTAGACTCTCGCATTTTAACAAGATGTTAAAGATAAGCCGGGGTGTTATTTTCAATATCTCTGCGTCTTTCCATCAGACACAGAAAGGAAAAGAATGGATTGTGAACAGGCTAAAATTAAGAAGAAAGCCTAGAATAGTGAACGGATATCTAACCAATCCTGATGTTCTCAAAAAGCGAATTGGGCTCAAACGGATTCTTGCGGGAGCATCCAAAATGAGATGTTAGTTAGACTAAGAAGTTAGTCAAGAAGCCAAAAAGCGAGAACTCAGCTGGGTGGACTTCCGTTTTACGGAGAGGCTTTTACCTGTAAAGGCGTCTGATACAGCCATTTTTCTCTCTCTCCACTCAGGTTCATACAGGCAAAGAGGTCGCAAACGGCAGGGAGGCCGCTGTCCTGTAAGAAACAAGAACTGGTTTCTGTGAGATGAGAAAATTTACTGGTCTGTCTTACATTTCCAAATAAAACAGTGGGCAGCAGGGCGCCAAAGTTAGCACCTTGACTGCCTCTCCAGTGAAGGCTCTTCTGACCCGGCAGCTTTAAGGCGCGGGGACCTCCAACTCCCAGAATTCCTCAGCTAACATGGCTGGGTGGGGAACTCTGGGAGTTGAAGTCCACGCAGCTTAAAGGCGCCATGTTTGGAGAATCCCCTGGGTTATATTAAACATGGCACAGATCGCTTTCAGCGGGTTAAAGGGACTGGGCGAGAATCCTACTTACGTGTGCTTTCTTCCGTAGCAGCCATTTATCTTCCACGAGAGGCTGGCTGGAGACTTCTGCGTTTTTTGACAAGATCCAGCTGTTTATGTTGAAAGGGAGGTGGAAGGGCGTGAGCAGCTCCAGGAAGGAACCCTTACAGCTCACTCCGGCCTCCTCTCGGATCGCCTTCTCTTCGCCGGGTGAAGCTTTGACTTCTTGCTTGGCTAGCCAAGAGGACAGTGAGGTCTCCTGCAATTCTTTCAGAGGTTCTGCCACCTCCCGGACAGCATCCTGTTTTATGGCAGAGCTAGCCGAATCCCCCTCCGTTTGTCGAGAAGGATGGAGCCAGATGTTCAGCACAGGCCGACGTCCCTCGGGTTCGGAAGCCTCTGCTAACGGCATCCCGTTTTTATCCTTGCCTTCTTTCCTAAGAAGCCATTTGCACAGGGCTTCCTTTTCACAGTTCTCGTCACACGCGCACTCGGAAAAGCTGGAACACGGCTCGTTGGCTTTGCATAGGTCCTCGACTCTGAAAGCGGGCTGCTGCAGAAGCCAGCTGTCGGCGTTCGGCGGCTTCCTCGCATCCAGGTGCTCATTAAGGCATTTCAGATTGCCGAGATTTTCTATCTCTACCCCAGTGGCTTGACCGCCACAACAATGACTGCAAGAATCGGTTTTAGGGAGCCAATCGTTCGGGTTATATTCCTCGCGGAAAGGCTTAAAAACCCATTTCCACTTCTCATCGGAGGCATTCTCATTTTGGGGTTCAGAAGGCACAAGGAGCCATTCAGAAAGATCGGTGCCGTCTTCCTCAAAGAGCTCCAATTCGTCAATCTTCTCAATGGACAAGGTGGAAGCGACGGTAGAAGTCGAGCTCTTCCGTCGGCGGAGGTCCGTTCTCTCAGGAAGGTCTCGCTGTTGGTTCTGCAAAAGCCAGTTCTCCAAGTTTTTCAGGTCTCCCCATGCTTTCTCCAAGTAACACACTTCCGAAGGCTTGAAATCCTAAGGAGAAGACACCGCAAGCATTTAGATCCATCAAGGTAGCATGCAGTATTGCAGGCTAACTTTACCCACAGCCTAAAAGTTTGATCCTGACCGGCTCAACCTTCCAAGGTTGGTAAAATGAGGACTCAGACTGTTTGTGTGCAAGCGATATGCAAATAATGCTTCTAGAAAGGGCTGTAATAAATCTAAGTGCTATTGCTATTTCTTAGGAAAACAACAGCAAGATTAAGATCGCTCTCAATGTTCCAAGAACAACCTTTTTGGATCCACCAATTCCACTTCTTTTGGGAGATAGATAGGATGATTGATTTGCCGCC